GTTTATTTTTTTTTTTTAGTTTTCAACGTGCAGATCTACATCTTGCATGTTGCTTTGCATGCATGTTAATTCCCCGGTAGACATTTTGTCCCAGAGGCTCAAAGTTGGTCCGAGTCCTCATTGGGTCCTCTACCGGCTTAGCCAGGACCTGGAGATGCCCTGGATTTTCAATATGAAATCTCTGCTAAGGGAGCTGTATGCATTGCCTTGTGTTTAATACGTTAGCGATAACACTGAATATAGTACGTACAGGTTAATTCATTATAGCATATTTCGGGTATATTCATATATTTACTTCGAGCGTCATTTGGACACATTTTATCTATTAAGATTTGAATCTTGCTCAGGCTGTTTCATATTTAAAACATACTTCGAAGGTTATTTACCCTGTGGGCAGTACGCGATCTCTGGAGCAATGAACACGTGCTCTCCAATTACTCATTTTCATGAGGTCTAGGGGTTAAGCGTTATGCTAGACACTCGGAATTCTACGACGGGCTTAGTCTTTCATTCGATTAGCTTTGAACTCCAATGCTGGACACCCCAAAGGCTTCGGCTTTCCCTTTTTTTTTTTTTTTTTTTATTTTTAGTCTTCTATTTATATATAGTCCATAACCTGCTTCGTTCCCGAACCGTACGATTGACATGTTTATATATACGGTATAGTCGGTTCATGCGTTTGATGTGCCTTTTCTTTTGACAGGTCGATAACAACGAAATCTGTAATCAAGGAACACGTGTCACTGCGTTATATATTTTCTTACGCAGTATGCAGGAACTTTGCGCTAGATACATATTATTTTTGTACGTCAGTAATGTATTTGCATTATTTGACGAAAAATCATGTTTTCGGAGGACTGCCACTGCGTGCGGAATGAAAAAGACACATGGAACTCGCGAACCGACTATTTACGGCGTCAGCATTCAAGAGTGAAGTAACCTTTGAGCAGGTAGCAGAGGAATCGGATGATCACGTAATAAATGACAGGCAACCTCTCGAACGTTCACTAGGTACCTAAGCTACCTCGCACATTGCGCGTTTATGTCGTGACGAGTATATCGATCAGTGACGTCATTGCTGACGCATAATGTAATCTTCCTAGCTACCGCGCATCGACGCACCCCGCACCCCTCGTTCTCCTTTCACTTATTCTCTATCCTTTCTGGCACTGCCTCACTCTTTCCGGCCTCGGTCTGGTAACATCCTGGGCAATCAATTGCCCAGGACCTTACGGGTTATTCATCGAAGTGCAATACGAACGTTACCCACTAATCTACGGGCTAATTTCTAAAAAGGTTAAATCATAATGCAAAGGCAAGCATTCGGTTAAATACGCAAAGGCAAGAAATCGAATGCACTCCAGTTGCATCTTTCGCCTGAAGTTCGAAGGCCGCATGTGTGAGACGCGAAGAGAACAAAAGGACAAAAGCGCAGAGGCTGGGCAGTAGTAGCGCGAAGTTTGGAGGATCGAGGGGAAAAAAAAAATAAATAAATAAAAATAAAAAATACGCCAACTCGGTGATTCGATGTATTATCGTAATGGTCCTCCGAGATGAACGAGAGCTGCACGCCAGCCTCTGAAAGGGGAGTCCCTCTCTCCAGGAATATGTTGGACGTGTTCCAGACGTAGTTGAACGAACTCCTTTTTTTTACGCGAGACAAGGGTGTCTGTTAAAGGGGTAAAAAAAGATTCCGGCCAGATCCTAGCGGGACTCTCGGTGCTTCTTCGTGCGGCGTGGAGACGGATGGACGATCTGCTCATTGCACGAAGCCAATGCAGTGTCGCAGTTATATTTCAGCATTGCCGTAGAACTCAAATTTTTTTTTTTTTCGGGTTTTGGCTGTACCTTCAGGGCTTTTGCCAGCACATTCCTAGGGTAGGATTTAAGTTTTTTTTTCTGTTTTTTTTTTTTCTTTTTTTTCGGTTACGAGGTGAATGCGCAGTCGCTACCATTAGTCATAGTAATAAAAGGATCTTTTCAGTCGTATGTTTCTATGGGTGTCATCAGAGCTGGGATAATAGTTGATACTACTTAAAACGTAGGTAATTGATGTACGTAAGCGGGGAAGGTTAGGACGGTAGTAAATAACGTGTCTTTCTGGATACTAAGGATACGTGCATTTGCGTTGTGTCGTATGTTTTTTTTTTTTTTTTTTTTTTTTTTTTAAAAACGTAAGCGGGGAAGGTTAGGACGGTAGTAAATAACGTGTCTTTCTGGATACTAAGGATACGTGCATTTGCGTTGTGTCGTATGTTTTTTTTTTTTTTTTTTTTTTTTTTTGAAAAAGTCAGTCGCGTACAGTCAGCTTTCGAATACCTCAACTATATTCCAGAACTAGAGTTACTTATGGTTAATTGTTGGCAAACGGTAAATAACACAGCAAGTGCTATGCTAATTCCACACGGTCAGTATACACGCACATGCGTAATTGCATGTAATTGCAATACTTTTTTTTTCTCATACTTTTCAGGCGACTTTCCCTTCCACGCTCACCGGTAGGAGGAGACTCGATTTTCTTGGCTGCGACGCGTTCAGCTAATTAATCTGGCATAGGAGGGAATGCACTTTCGTGGTAGAATTGCGTCAGAATGCTCTGGCCTATGGTTCTTTGTGAGAATTTTTTTAATTGGCAGTTTTCGTTTATTTTGCGAATTTATGGGACGAGGTGAGGAGTTGGGAAAAAATATATGATTTTTAATAGTCTTTATGTAAACAGTAAATGCATTCGTGGGCAGTTTTACTCATTTTTTTTAATTATCCTCCCAATCGACGAGACTGTCGCTTATGTTTGTATTTTTTTTTCTTACGGTTTAAGTTTTTTCGGAAACTATTGGCTTAACTGCAATTAAAAATTTTTGAGTATCGGGGATGTCGCGTGTAGGCAGATCCCTCTGGTATTTCTCAATTTCAATTGACGGTTTTTCAAGTATTTACATTGATTTTCGTCTCACGGAATTCGTGTTGCGCCAAATCGCTTCACGTGGACGATCTGACACTTTTGTCAGGTGAATTGTTGCAGAAAGATTTTGAATCTTAAAAAAACCGATCCCCGCTCTCGGCATAAAAAAAAATGTACTTGTAATCCGTGCAGGTAATAATTAATTTTTTTTTTTAATTACGCAATCACGCGATTAGCTCAATTGCACGTTCGATGCATTTTTACGAATATCAACAGTCCACTAAATTTGTCTACTTCTTCGTCAAACTGAAAGGAAATTCTCTTCTGGCTAGCAAGTCTTGCAAATCGCATATTTCAAGCTTTGTCCACGCGTGCGCAAGTTTCGACAGAGACTGGGTCAAGGTGGCCCTTTTGTGATTTTCAACTTCGATAGGGCTGTGTCAGTCTTATTTATCGTGTTTGCCCCAACGCTTAGTTCTATTCCCCAATGCTATTCACGAGCTCACGCCAACGGTGACAGCTAGTCTAGCGCCAGGCTTCCTGAGCATCGGCGCAGACCTGGTTCGAGGCTAGGCCAATACCGAATTCCTCCGGGGGTGGCGCCACCTTCGTATGACTTTTAATGCAAATGACTTGCCGATATCTCGGATTTGATTTGTGGGTCGATTTTACGTGTTCGCGGATCCACGTGTACAGGGATACATGATTCATAAATGTATTTACAAAATTTTCCACTACTGCGTTGTACCTCTATACGCTACTGTACTTCCTATGCGCACGTGCTGGACGATCGCCAAATACGGCCGAAACGGAGAGTTCGCTGCTCCCACGAGTTTTCATTATTATTTAAAATACGTTATACGTGATCCCTCGAGATATCGTTGCCAAAATACAATTATTTTCACTCTACCCTTATGGCTCTATGAGTTACGCACGTGTTTTGGGTCTGGTACTTGGTCAGGATGTTTGACCGATTGCACTGAATGTTAGGAGAGCTGACACGTGTAATTGAACGAAATATGAAGCAAGTATAGAATTCTGTCTTATAATGCGGCAGAAAAGGTTTGTAGACGTGCTTGAGAATTCGTGATAAACGTCCATGCCACTGAATGGCTTATTGCGGGTTAATTGATAATGTTACTGATATTGAATCTGCTGACAGTGAATGGGGTATAGAAACGATAGCGCATTGTAATTGCCAATTTAACCTCGCGACTCGGAACTATCTCACGTGAAGGAGGTATAGATTTTTCATTTATGGATCGGATTAGGTTATTCACTTTATACGTACTTACTAATATCGTTACCCGCTTATCCCAAAGAGACAAAATCGATATGAATATACGTGCTGTTCAATGTTTATCTTTAAAAGGTCTTTTTATACACAAGTAGTCCTATAGTCGGTTCACCGGCAAGCGACGCGATCCTTACCAAGTGACACGTGGTTTTACAGAGCAGCCTGGACACCCCGAAGCTATTGCTAATGTTTTTTTTTTTAATTTACGTGTCACTATCGTTTATAGTATATTCATACGTGTATGAATATTTATATAAAAAAGGAGAGCAATAAATCAGTCGTTAGAAAAAAAATTATTTTTGTATCAACACCACGTGACAGATCAAACTCGGACTTATCGCGAAAATCAGCGGACTTAATTTATCGACGTTACTTGAACTTTTCGTATGAATATTTTCTTCGGCCACGTATCAATTTTTGTTCTCGCGTTAATCGTCCAGCGTGATACGGGCTTGCTTGTTTCCGTAATTAACACCCGTTTCTTAAACCGTCGGTTCAATAAGGCAACACGTAGGAAGCATGAAATAGGACCGAACGAGATGCGTAATACA